ATTTTTTGTTAAAATACCAAATATAACAAACCACATGTTTTTATAAATGGCCAATCAGATGTAACAGCTTACAATAAATTCGTTAGACTGATTCAAACCTTGTGAAGTTTGTGGTTCATAAGTCATTTGTTCCTGAATCAAACTGCACTGGCTTTGCTATACGTTTATTTTTGTGAATAGCCAGTAAAGACAACACAATAGAAGACATTTTTATTTATTTGTATTATTTGGTTGTGCTTTTTAAGACTTTTTCAGACTGCAAACTCACAATTTATATATCATTTATTTTGCCATGTCATTTGATTCAGTGGTGCAGGAAACACTGATATGTCATGTGCGCAGGGAAAAATACGGCACTAAAAAGCCTGTGATGCTTTTTTCATGTGTGTGCGAGTCTGTAAGTGTGTATTTTGTGTTTTGCTCTCTCATTATGCAGTACAGCAGCTGGTCGTTTAGTGTACTCAATGCCTTCAATGTATTAAAAAGAGAAATGAGCTACACAAATAAAATATTGTGGCACAAACTGTAATTAGAAATCTGGCTCAACATACATGAGTGACTGTGGAGAGCGGCTGCTACGATGTGTGTATGTGTGTACACAGGGCCCTGAGTGTGTTCAGTGGGAATACTGGAGCCAGGCCAGAACAAACGTTAAGCTGCCTTATAAGGAGCCTGTCTGCAGCAAAGCAACTGTCTGAATCCTTCTGGGAGTCTGTGAGAATAAGAGAGCGAGAGTGTGTGTGTGTGTGTGCGAGAGAGAAAAATGAGATTGAGCAAATGAATTGCGGTTTGGAGAGAACAACACGTGCTTTGAGAAAAGCCCTTCTCATTCAGTAGTCTCTCTCATTGCCTTCCTTTTCCCACCTCCTTCCCCTAGGCTTCAAATTCTGGCATTTGATTGGTCAGCTCCAACCTGAGACATCCTATGACATCAAGATGCAGTGCTTTAATGACGGCGGCGAGAGCGAATATAGTAACGTCATGATCTGCGAGACCAAAGGTGAGAGGCTGAAGTACCATCACAAGAATGCTATATTTAACATGTAGACAGGAACCCATAAAGCCCCTGCGGTAATGACAGAGGAAAGCGAGCTATCATTTTATTAGAAGCTAGACAAAGAGAGACATTGTGCTGCGTCTCCTTGACATCATTCCCTGATAACTGCCCTAATGCAGCACTGTTGAAATCAAACCAGAGCGTCATTCACAGCCAGAGCAAATAAAAATCATGGAGTGCAAACAGACCGACTGCTGCCGCAAGCTTTGAGACTGACAACAGTTGCATTGTTATGTGCCAGCACTTGTTAGTGGTGCTTTATTATTGCTTATACTTGGGTTAGAGATTTGAACAAACCCCTAATCCCAAGTTTTAGAGCATTAGTATTAAACGGTGCATAATTGATCCCGCCCCATTAGTTCTACCGACATGAATGATTCATCAAATTGTGCTGCTTGTTGAGGAGCAAATATAGAGTGCAACAGTGCTGCCCACTTTTCAGCAACTTTTTATCTGTAAGCATTTACCATTCATTTTTTTTCCTGTAGGGATTTTTAAAAAGTCTTTCTTTTAGAGCTATAAGCTATGAACTAAACCAACCAGCTACGAGGTGAATCAGAACATTACAAAACTTTGATCTGAAGCAAAAAATATTTGAAAATTGGACAAAAAGACAAAGGTACAAGACTGTGCTTAATGGCTTTAGTGAGAGAAAGAACTACAAATCAATAAAGCATTGTGAATAACATAACTGAATAAAAAACAATGGTTTGATTTAAAGTTGTTATTTATATAGAAATAGCATATTTTATTGCAAAAGATGAATATTATGCATGCAAATGATATGTAGTTTGAGAACGCATGGAAATTGACTCTACGTAATTCGCAGTCATTTGCGTGGGCTGATGGCTTCGACAAAAGCATATACCATTGATTAACAACTAATTAACAACCTCGTAGCTCA